TTGCACATACTTTTGAAACTTCCAATTCATTATGCAAAATATAATGAATTCTCTCAGTAGAAATACCCATTAATTCCGCTAATGTTTTAATTGATATATGTGGGTCTTCAACAATAAGTTCTTCAATTTCTGCAACATTTTTGGGGGTGACAATTTCTTTTGGGCATCCAGAACATGAATCATCTTTAATGTTTTCATCACCACTTTCAAATGATTCAATCCAGCAATAAATACTATGAATACTTAGTGCTTTAGGTCCTTCAGCAACCTGCAATTCCATATGAATTTGATTCGCACTCTTACCATTTTTCCAGCTTACAAAAATGTAGTAATGTTGATGTTCACAATTAAAATTTTCCATTTGTTTTTTTAGCAAATTTTTAAATGTCAATAGCTTTATAATTAATGAACAAAATTTAATAAATTTTTTTTTGTTTAATAGACAAAAACGACTATTTTCATTTAAAAAAAATCTGTACAAAGTTACACATAAGATTGTCATTTTACAAGGCCAGTGACAAAACTTTTCAAATGCCCCACGTATTACAAATGCAACCAATCAAATCAATTAACAAACAAAAAGGGAAAGGTCATGTCACGAAGGGTCAATACACCCAACATGAGCCACCAGCAAGAGTTTCACTATCTCACTTGCTGGACTTTAATAACACATTTAAGTGAGTCACATGGGTTCATACCCTGAGATGAGTACTAGTAATGGAAAATGAGTCCTATATACCAACTTTTTTCAAGTTGTGCATGGGATATATACATTTTACATACAACATTTCATTGGACAAATTCTATTCCATAATTTTTATTGTGTAATCCTGTGTAATAAAAATTCAAAATAATTCAATAGAAAAAGTAGAGTTGACGATAGGTTGCATATTTGTATAGGTAACTGTTAAATACAAGATGTATGACAATGTATAAAGCTTCCAAAGAAGTTTGTAAAATATACTGATGAATGTTTGTCAATTATTCAATAGTTTGTATAGGCGTGACCAAAGTAAGTGTTAAATACAGGATCTAAGGAGTTTACAAATCAAGTTTTGCAAATGAACATTTTATCAATTATTCAATATTTTTGAATAGGAAGTGATTGAAATTGAAATAAGTGGTAAAGGCAAGATCTGTGAAGTTGTTGCAAAATATTTTAATGAATGTTTTATCAATTATTCAAATATAGGCAGAAATAAGTGCTAAAGTCAAGATCTATTTGCAAACCAAGTTTTCCAAAAATGAACATTTTATTATTCAATAATTATATATATGGGTTTGATCAAAGTAAGTATTAAAGTCGAGATCTATGAAGCTGTTTGTAAATATATTTAATGAATGCTTTATCAATTATTAAATAATCATATAGGGCGGGTTTGATCAAAATAAGTGTTAGTCAAGATCTATGAAGCTTGTAAAATAAAGGTTTATAAATTATTCAATTATCATATGGGAGGGTTTGATCAAAGTAAGTGTTAGTCAAGATCTATGAAGCTGTTTGTTTGACCAAAGTAAGTGTTAGTCAAGATCCATGAAGCTTGCAAAATGAATATTTATCAATTATTCAATAATCATATAGGCGAGTTTGATCAAAGTAAGTGTTAAAGTCAAGGTCTATGAAACTCGCAAATTGAGTTTTTAAAATGAATCTTTTATCAATTATTCAATAATTATATGGGCGGGTTTGATTAAAGCAAGTGTTAAAGTCAAAATTTACAAAGCTTGCAATCTAGCTTTGTAAAATGAATGTTATCAAAGTATTTTTTTAGTAATAAACAAAATAATCAATTCAATCATTGTCAATTTAATTAAATGCACAATGCTTTATTTTTTCAATTTAATTGTCAATTAATAAAAAAAGAAACCGAATAATAAATTGTAAATGCATAATTACAGTCCCCGGCGAAAGTAATGGCATGTAATTTTTTATGAATAAAAAATGTACTTTATTAAAAATTTAAAAAAAATTTTTTTTTTCTTAAAGCCAAATAGTATGGCTATAACATTTATTATGATGTTAGTACTTTGTATGAGCTCCTTCGGCATTGATGCATGCTTGAACCCGATTTTGCATGCTACCGATGCTATTAACTATGACGTTTTTTTTCAATTCCCTCCCATTCCTCCCTAATAATATTGATAAATTTATTTTTCAAAACCTTTTTTTTTTCTGCTATCATTTTTTTAATGTGTTTCTCAACATTATGCTTCAAAATAGCCCATATATTCTCAATAGGATTGAGATCTGGGCTATATGAAGGCCAGGCAAGAACACGTCTTGGAAGTCGGGTATTCAGATCATTCATAACGTCCCTAGATGTATGCTTAGGGTCGTTATCTTGTTGAAAGACCCATTGGCCACCCACCAATGCATCAGCATTATCGTAAAGTTGTTCATTTAAAATTTTACGATATAGGTGGCGGTCAAGGTTTTCAGTAAAGATATGAATACCGACCTTCCCTTTAAAATTGATCGCACCCCAAACATGAACCTTAAGGGTATGTTTTACCATAGGCTGGACAGGTTTCTTTTCACGAGACCATGCTAACATCGTATTGCAAAACAACTGGATAGTTGTTTCGTCTGAAAAAACAACTTTCTTCCAGTTGTAATGCACATGATCTTGTGCCCATGACAAGCGGTTAATCTTTGCTTGCTCTGTTAGAAGAGGAACTTCTCTGGGAAGAGTAGCAACATAACCGAGGTTGGAAAGCTCACAGCGAAAGTTCTCTCACTAACTTCGAGATCTTGGTATTTTTCTTCTAAAATAGCTTTCATTTCAATGGTGGTCCTATAGTGGTTACTCTTGATGATCATTCCGAGTTGGCGTCGTTTTTCCGATGATAATTTTTGCGGACGACCTGACCGATGAATTTTCTGGAATTTTTCCATTTTTTTTAATATGGTGACGTATCGTTGACATGTACGTAATGGGATCCCAGTTTTATTCGAAATTTCTTTTCGGAGTACAAATATTTTGCTTCCAGAGAAAGTTAACGGCATTATGGTTGGCTTTAATAGGGTTTGATGACATTTTACAAGGCAAAGTAAACAAAAAACACTGATGACAATCATTATTTTTTTTATTTACTTTTATGGTTACTATCTATATACACGACTCAATGACAAATAAACATTATAAATGAATGTTTTATGGTATTATGCCTGAATAAGTAATTCGAATATTCGCGCCATTACTTTTGCCGGGGACTGTATAATGCTTTTCTTAAAAGTAAACAAATCAATGATCCAAAAAAAAAAACAGAAAAAATGTTTTTTAGCATTTTTAGTAATAAACAAATAATCGATTCAATTGTCAATTAATTAATTAAACCATGATGCTTCTCTAAATCAATGGTATGATCCAAAAAAAAAAAACAGGACAAATAATAATTCGTAAATAATAAAATGTTTTTTAGCATTTTTTTTTAATAAAGCTCACAACTGAGAATGCAATGCGAGCTTTTGCTTTTTTATGCGTTACACGATCCTTTTGTGTGCTACATGAGAAAATTCATTTATTTTATTTTGACATCACGTTGACATCAAAGTTAGGTTGGGTTTGGATTGCATCTTCTCCATCGTAAGGAGCAAAAAATGACATCACTTAGGCCAAGACAATAGTCTGTTTTATTAAATTCGAAATATATAAATAAGTCAGGTGTCCCCACATTTTTTTTTTCGTATAAAAATTCCTCAAAGGCCACCTTATACATTCAGCCATGACGTCACTGTTCATTTTCAAGCAATCAAAGCAAATTCAAGTTAATTTACGAATGCGTACGTTACGTTTAAATCATGAAATCATTTATCGTTATACAACGTTATACAAATAGTCTAATTCATAAAAAAAATAAAATATCGTCTTTATCATCAATTGAGATACTCATTTCACGTTAGAAAATATACAAAAATAAATTAATGCTGCACGTATGTTTTTTTTTACATTTCACCTTCCATGCTTCCCATTCCAAAAAAAAATAGTTTGGTAAGATCCATGAATGAAAGATTTTCTGAATCAGCAATTATTATATAGCAATAATTAACTAATAATAAAAAATTTCCATTTGAAAAACATTTAATTTTAAATTGGCAGAAAATTAAAATTAATTTTTAATTCTTGAATTTTATTGGCTGGAAGCTTCCAACGCACATAAACTATTAGAAGGCCTGTGACCCCAATTCCAATGCACATCATCACTGCGAAACAAAATGAAGTCATAACTTTGTATATAGAAAAAGAAGGCCTTAGCTTAGAAAACTACGATTGTTTTGGAGTACTAAAGAATCCATAAAGTTGCGGGTAGTGATGGGAATTTTTAACCTGCATTTAATAACTCCAAGTTATTATTAATAGTTAATAACCACTTATTAACTGTTGCATCCAAAAGATCCATTTTGCCAATGTATATGGTTCAGTGTGCGGAATTTTATACTTGTTTCAAATAATTTTTGCTACCAATGAAAGATCTGCAAGTTGTGTTTTTAACAAAAAATTTTACGCCCATCCACTAGTTCCAGGACTAGTCCATAAAATTTAGCAATGATCTACATTACACCAAGTGTAAAGAATAATAAAAAGCACGTTCATGCAATGTATTTCCTTTTTAAACTATTCAAATTGAATCTTTTTTTTACTATAACTATATATGTGTAAATTAAATAAGTTTGTCCTGCTAATTAATTAATTTGGAATCACTTCTCTGCCATCCAATACTACTTCTACTACTATTGCTGCTAAAATAAAAAAAAGAGATAATAATAATACAATAATGGTTGAAGAAACAAAAAAAGCTGAAGAGACAAAAAAATCATCACCAACCTCTACAAAAAAATCAGTATTGGATAAAGTACCATGGTTAGCAAATCAAAATAATAACTCTACTACATCAAACAATAACAATGATTATAAAAAGACAACTCCACCACCACGTAAATTGCAATCACCTTTTCTTAAATCAAGTGTTACTTCATCATCATCATCGTCGTCGTCGTCGTCGTCGTCATCTACAACCTCACCGAGTAAGTTGCAATCACCTTTTCTTAAATCAAATGTTCCTTTTTCACCTTCATCAACTACTTCATCAACTACTTCACCTACAACTTCACCCACAACTTCATCTACAACTTCGCCATCTTCATCTTCATCATCGTCGTCATCACCGTCATCATCTAATTCCTCCAATTCCGGTACACCTTCTAAATTAAATAAAAATAATATTTCACAAAAATTAGAAGGATTATTTAATGGTGGTGGTGGTGGTGGCGCAGGTGGAATAGCTTTGCCTGGTATGGAGAGAGGTGGTGGTGGATTTGTATTTGGAGGAAGAAAAATTGTTAAAAGTGGAGATGATTATAATAATAATAATTGTAATACAAAAGAAAATAATAGTGATAATAATAGACGTGTTAAAGTTATGATGGATGTTAAAGATGATAATAATGATAACAGTGAAAAAGTTGACGATGAGAAAAAAAATGATAAAGAAAATGATTCGCCAAAAATAAAAGCCTTAGAACATGTAAGTAAAATGATTGTTTTTTGGTGAGGATAGTTAAAGAGATCTTATCAATAATTTCTTTATTTTAGGTAACAAAAGATAGACCGAAAAGACCTGGCAAAGCAAGACAACAAATTAAACCAATTACAACTGCAACAACTACTGCTACTATAAAAGATGAATCTATAAAGAAGAACGAGGATGATAATAAAGAAATTGAAATCGAGAATGAAAAATCCGTAAAGAAGGAAGAGGATAATAGCGATAATTCTAAAGATAAAGAAAATGATGATTATGCGAAGGTGGAAGATGATTCTAATGATCATAATACGAAAGAAATTGAAGGTAAAGATGAGGATGAAGAAGATCATGCAAAGATGGAGAATGATTATACAGCAAATGACGTTGAAAACAAAAAAGAAGAATCTGCAAAGGAGCAGAGTTATGAGAATAAATCAAAGGGGATTAAAGATTATTCCAAAGAAATTGCCAATATTACTACTAGTAGTACAGAATCAATTGATAAATTGAAATCTGAAGATGATGATTTAAAAGTTACTGAAGATAACAAAGGGAATACTAAAGAGAACACTGTATAAGTAACTAGCCGCAGTTAATTGTTAGATAGAAAGAAATAAGATATGAAACTATTTATTTTGTTTTATTATTTTTTTACAAAATGTATAAACTACTTTATATGTATGTATACTTTGGGTGTTTTATTATTATATTATCGTTATTTTACAAAAGAAAATAGAAATTCTTTTTTTTTGAATTTCCATTAAATTATTTATTATGAATAAAAAAATATTTACAAAAATAAAAATTAAAGAATAAATAAATAAATAAAAATATGAAAATTATGTGAAATGTGAAATTGTGAATGTTTTGAAAAAAATGTCTATGAAAATAAATTTTATATTACAAAATACATAATAAAATTATAATTGTAATAATAATAATGTTATGAATGTCTATAAAAATGTTCAAAAATGTGTAAATAAAACGAATTAATGAAAAGTGTAGTGAATATGTATAATAAATGTGAAAAGGAAATTAGAATTAAATGTTCTTTATAAATAATATATAAATATTAATCAATAATATTATATAATATATGTTATATGGTGTTTCTGTGTCTTCTTATTCTAACCATAATTTTCAAACATTTTCTAGATACTTGTAAAGTTACAGCAGGAGTAATATTTGTATGTGATGTACGTGGTTGTTGACGAAATGTTGGTCTTTCACGATCCAATCTGATATTTTTATCATCGCCAACATTAATAATTTTATTACCTGTAATACTAACATCATCTTGATGATTTCTATTCTTTGATGATCTTCTACTCGATGTGTAATTATGATATTCATCTGGATCAGTTGATGCTTTTTCAAGAATATTTGATTTTTGATTAAAAAATCTGTAAATAGCTGATGAACTTATAAATTTCATCTAATTTGAGAGGGAGGAGAAGGAAGGAATAAAACTTGTTAATTATTTGTCTATTAATTATCCAAGTAGTAATACTAATAATAAAAAAATAAAAATAAAATACATACTGTTTGAGTACGTTTAGGTCTTGAATTAGCAAGGGTTGAATAACGTTTACTTGGATAATTTTTAGCAAGGTCGTCGTCTCCCGTATTATTTTTATTATTTGGTGGTGATGGTTTTCTATTTGGGTTGAGTGAGGAAGAAATCGCTGGACGATATCTATTTTTTAAATCCAATGATTGCTTTTCTAATAACGATTTAGAAAGATTAATTAGAAACGATTTGTTATCATTATTAATATTATGAGACGAAAAAAAAAAATTTTTGATAATTACCACATCTTTTTAATAAAACTTGTCCAATGAGTGAAATTGGGGGAGGAATATTTAAGGTTGCAGATGTTTTTTCGAGCAGTTTTTCTGAAGGAATAAGAGCTTTCTTTTCATCATCGTTTGAAGAATTTGTTTTTTCTTCATTTTTAAATGCCTTCTTTTCGTCAAAGTCATTTACTTCTTCTACATTGCCACCATCGCCACCATTACCAACAGCACCACTAATATTATAATGTTCAATACGATGAAGGTATTTTTTGAGATCGTTTGGTGGAAGATAATTCAAACTTAAAGAAATCAGTCCGTGACACAACAATATGCACCATTTACATAAATCCCTACTTTTTTCAGTTACTAAAATCATTGTGTTGAAATTTTTATGGAAAAGTTTTGAAATACAAAAAGTTTATAGAAAAATGAAATAAATAATTATAATGTAAATATATAAAACGTAAATGAAATATTATTGATTTTTTTGCAAGTTATTTTGTTAATGAAAATTATGCTTTTTAATTGTTTTAAATAAATCTTCTGCGAGAATTATTAAAGAAAAATTTTCTGAGTTATGGTTATGAATTAATGGTTTATATCTGTTTTTTAAAAAAAAATGTGAAAATTATAAATGGAAATAAGTCGGTCAGAATGGTTTAGTTTCAGAATCTAAAAAAGAATTTTTCCTGCACATATGAATACAATATAATTAATACACAATGATAATTGACAGGTTTTATGCGAACTGCGAACTGAAAATTATTGAAAATTATGGTTAATTTAGAAATAATTAGTAGAGACGGTTTATATAATGTTTGGTAAACTTGCAACATAATTATATAATAATAGACTTTATTGTTATATCAAGTTTTACAATTCACGAAAAAAATTTTTTTTAATCAGCTGCTATAAAATCCAAAAATACTTGTGATTTCTGCAATAATGCATACATTTATATAACATTATGTAGAAAAAAAATTCTAAGAAAGCATCATTATTATTAATATGTAAAAATTACGCCATAGCACTTTTGAAATATTAAAAAAAAATTTTAATTTTCTAATTTCTCTAATCTTTAATATTTTTTACAATGATGAATTAATGACTATCGAATGTTTGTACATTTAATGTCCAATAAATTTTATTCAAAAAGCATTCATTGTTTTTGTTTTCAATAATTAATTAGAGATTAGTCATGAAATTTTTTTTCTAGAACCTCTAGAAGTAATTAATTATGTGATGTGAGTGTATGTATGTATGCATGATATGACTGATAATTATATACAATAGACGGTATGTTGTAATGCAAAGAATTGTCATAGCGTTTTAAGCCAATGATTACAATTATAGACGTGAAGTGAAATTGTGAGGAAGAGGGGAAGATGGGGATGGAGATTAAAAGGAAGTAGCATTAATGCTATATTACTCATAATAACAATTTTATTATATTATGACATTAGGGGAAATGCTTGTATCAGGGAGTTCTTGAAAGAAAATAATTTCAAGTTGAAAATGTTACTATAACCGGATATTTATGGGATTAGCAAATGAAAATTAGGTAAAAAAATTTTTTTCAATAAGTTTCTTTTTTTATTTTTTTTTTCATAATGAAATAATGAAGTAAAATTTGGCATTATTAAAAAAAATGAATGAGTTGATCTCTGTATATTGTGTAACTTATTGTTCAAAAAAAAGTTTATTTAAAACCTTAAAATATTATATTTAATCTCCCATATATGACATAATAAACTTTTACGTTTATATTAAAGTAATAAGCGAGGGAGAACAATCATAAATTTCATATTATTACAAAATTAATTTTTCAGCGTGTTTTAAAATTAAATTAAAAAGATTCATATGAAAATAAACAAAGGAAGAATAAATGATTGGATGATTGAAAAAATGATCATGTTAGTATGGATATAAATATACATTTTGTAACAAATAATCACTAAATATATCAAAAAATCATTTGGCGGGAATAATTTATTACTTTGATACTAAATTCTTTACGAGAGAACGAGAAAATGAATCAGAGAGCGAAATAATTGAGGGGAAGAATAAACAAATAAATATATAAGCATGCAAGATATTTTATTCTCGTCAAAATTTTTACTTTGGAAATTATAAAAATAATAATTATAATTAGTCAATTTGGATTTCCTGGGAACGTTGATAAGTTGGTTAATAGTAAATCTATTATTATTATTATTATTACAAATTCGTATTAAATACAAGAGATTTTCTTAATATAATGAAAAATAGCGAATATAATTGATTTAGAAGTTGGTTGTGATGGTGATACTTATAAAGAGAAAAGAACGCGAGGCAATTATTATAACAATGATGATCATTAATATTAATATTAATATTAAAAATTAATTAACCATGTGTTGTTAATTATCATTATTAAAATGATAAAACATATAACAGCAATAATGAATAATCTACGTGCGCAACATCTCTAAGAATCATTAAACCAATTCATGTCGTAGCCATTATTGATCGATCTCGGGATATTTATTTTCAGTATAACGAATGAATGAATGAATGAATGAATGAATGAATGAATGAATGAATGATGGATCAAAAAATGCGAAACATAAAATGAACAATCCGTAATACACAATAATAATAATAATAAATAATAATAGTGGGATTGTGTGGAGACTAGCAATAAAGATGACAAATTATTATTCGCTACTATAAATATTCATGAAATCATTTGTGTATTTTGAGTATTGTTGAAGGAAATCAATGAAGCTATTCGTGTAAGTATAGAATTAGTAATTAAAAGAAATGATAATAATTGATAATGCAGGCGATGAAAAAATATCGATTGAAAAAGACAGGTGATAAATCAAAATCTTCTTGTGTTCGCTAATTTTAATATGAGAACAATGAGTTGATCTATTGTCTATTGTTACGAAACAAACCCATTCAATCAATAAAGAAATTATTTATTATTATTTTGGACGCATTTCCTTGTATTATTAACATTAAAAAATTTTTTAATGAATTATTATTTATAACCATCCGTTTGTTCTCTAAATTACTACTCCTGGTAGATTTTCTCTTTTGGAAAATCTTTATTAATGAATATTTATAAAGATCTTCACGTGAAATAACTTGTGTTATTAGTTGATTAAATCAAGTTTAGTTTAAAGTGAACAAATCAAGTTCAGGAATGAAAAAAATCACCTGCTTTCATTGCTTATTATTATTGTTATTATTGTTTTTCATTCAATATTATATCTTCCATATAAGATAACCGGTGTCTAAAAGTATAGATCGGGTAAGTAATAGGTTGTTTCAGATTTTTTCTATTGCCCAGTGTCATTTCTTTTGCATACACTTATCAGGATTAAATTAATTATAATAACAATTGAACATACTGATAATATCAATTGATTGAATAAATTTCAATTCATTAAGATTCAATTACTGTACTATCTTTCTTTAAAGTGGTTATTACTGTATCAAACTTACTGGTTGCTGAAAATAAAATGCACCTATTGTTACAGGGCTGGAAATAGGATTCAAAAAAAATTCTGGAAATTCTTAATTTACTTAGAGCATCACTTTAAACACCTTCCAAACAACCATTATTAATGTGTCATTATCGATTGATTGCATTATTTTAATGATATTCTGTTTACTGAAACCCTTTCACAATCTACACTAGGAAAGGAAGGAAATCATATACAACTGTTTTAAAACTAAACCATTCCTCTCAACAGCAACAGAATCTATAACCTAAAGGATAATCTAGTAATAT